TTGAAAAGATGACATATTCAGGAAGAAGATATTTCCTGTGCAAAATAACATTCAACTGAAACCTAACTTCTGTTCAGAAGATTTAACATAAAAGTAGGGGCCAATCCTACTCTGTCTGTTTAATGAAAACAAAAGCTGAGCTACTTGCACTGCAGTAACTGCAAGCTCTTCAAATAGAGGAGCAAATACCTGGGACCTCATCATAAAATGGTCCATTTGGCAGCACTGAAAGAACTGAAAGAATTGTAGACCTCAGGGATTTATTTTCATTTATATTCCAACTCCTTCGCACCATTCTTGACACATAGAGAGGAGTGTTTTGTGCAAATCAGAATTTGGGCCATGGGGACAGGAATTTCAAAAGCCTGGATATTCGTTGGACATGACAGGGCAGTGCTGAGGTACAGTGTGCTCTCAGTGGACTCTCCTCTGGATCCTGCCCTGGCATTCCCTCATTTTTGGCAGCAGGTGATGGTTGTTGAGCTGCTCCTCGCAGGTGTCGAGGTCTGTCTGTCCTGGATGGAGAGCGAAGTCCAGCACTGGGTCTGCACGTCTGGAGAACTTCCGGACCTTCTCCAGTCCTGGTCCTGCACAGCGAGAGTGTTTGGGTTTGAAGTGTTGTGTGGAAATATTTATGTTTGCAAGGGAATTCCCTTGGAAAGGAAATATTATTAATCATGTTGCATTTTGAGCTGTTACATTTACTGAACTTTCCCCCTGAAGTACACAAACAAGTGTCACAGAGGGAAAACATTCCTCTTCTTGGTGCTGGAAATTGAATGTTCTTGCCTGCTCTGCTTTAGGAAAAGAAAGACATTACCTGAACCTTCTGTTTGGCCCTTTTTTGATCTGCAGGGCCTGAAATTCTAATTGTATCCTGCCTCTGGCCATGTTCCCTGCAGGTCTGGCAGGACTGTTCTGAGAGATGTTCCTCCTTTGGTTTTTTTGGGATCCTGTGGTTGTTTTCATGGCTGGCAGTCTGCAAATTGGGGTAATGATTCCAAAGCTTTGTTGTGTAAATGAAACTCCCATTTAACTTCTGACCATGTGAGGGACACAAAGAAGGTGGCCAGTTGTGCTGGAGGACACCATAGCCCATCTTACTTAAAAATGGCAAAAAAGGAGCTTTTGTTAGAGATGATGTGGAGGCTTTGATCTTTCTCTTCTCTCTTCCAGCCTGGAGAACGTTGTTCCAGGACCATGCTCAGTCATAGGGATGTGTTACCCCAGGGCTGTGTTGTCCCAGGAATGTGTTGTCCCAGGGCTGTGTTGTCCCAGGAATGTGTTGTCCCAGGAATGTGTTGTCCCAGGAATGTGTTGTCCCAGGAATGTGTTGTCCCAGGGCTGTGTTGTCCCAGGAATGTGTTGTCCCAGGAATGTGTTGTCCCAGGAATGTGTTGTCCCAGGGCTGTGTCAGAGTTGGCTGTGGGTGCATTACCAGTTGGGAGCCCTAATTATTATCAATTTGCAGATTGCCTTGAATGTCTTATTAAAATTCGTGTGGAATGATTGATCATAATCAAAAAATTAATCACCAATCAGCCCTGGCAATTAACATTAGCAAGTCTATTTGCATATATCTGATAATTTATGCTGCTGCTGGAAGAAGGGACTTTTGCTGAATATTATTGATTAGGAAAGAAGAGCCAGATGCTTCTGTCACTGGGACATGAGGCTTTATTAGACATGTAATGTGTAAGGAACTGAAGGGCATTCCCACAGTCTGCTGTAACATGAGCATCTTCAAGTGTCTAGAAGGAATTTCTTAAATATTAAAAGTGGGATATTTTGCTTTAAAAAAGCTTTGACTTTTGGCTCTTATTTACTGCAGGTACTTTAAATCCATTAGGAGGAAAACACATGATAATATCAGCCTCAATAGTGAGATTTACATTACAAGAAGTTACTTAATAGATGTAGTTATTTACTGTTATGAATAAAGAATTTCCAGGCTTGCAATTAGTTTGATTAATTGTGCTATTTAAGCTTTGAAGAACTGCATAACAAAGTCCTAGAAGTGGCTGACAATAGTCTGCACTGTTCAGTCAATGAATTTTGCTTAATAAATTTATAATCTTACTGCATTTTTTCTTTTTAAACTGATACTTCTATTAATGCATTTGTAAAGAGAGGTTTATTATCCATATCAGCAACATTGATTTTGTTTTCAAATTGTCTTGAAATGACTTGTAGGGTAACACATCTGATTGAAATGTTCTGAGTCTGGTCACATCTCCTGGTATTTTTTTGCATTGGAGTCTTTTGTTCAACACAGGGCGAGCAATATTTTATGCTTAAAATATATTCATTTCCCTTCTTCACCCAACTGATCTGAAGAGTGGAAGTTTGCTGGGAACTGTTAATTATCCCATGTTCTGACCTTCTCCAGGGTTTCTGCAGCCAGCAGTGATGCACTGTTTACTTTGCAGTAACCAGAGAACCATGGCTGATTTCAGAACTGAAGGGACATCAAAATGTTAAAATAGATCTGAATCTTGTAATTCTGTACTGACCTTGGTGGGGAGGGGGGATCTCTGTTGCCTTCAGCTGGCTTGGGTGAGGAAAAAAACCAAGTCATCTCACTTGGGGTAGTTGTGAAGTTTTGAGCTTAAGGATGGAAATGAGAGACACATTACAGAAATATTTGAGGCTTATTACTTGGAGAGGGGTGGACTTGGGTGTCCTGAAAACTGGGATAATCTAAAAGAAGTAATCTAAAAATCTCACCTTGCATGGTTGTCCTAATTTACCTGATCTAAAGCCTGATTTTAATGACTATTAAGCACAGACCTGTGAAATCTTTTCCTCCCTTTTCTTCTCACAGCCTCTTCCACCCAAAGCCAGATTCTCCCGTGCATTCCAGCCAGGCTGGAGCAGAGACCTGCTCTGGGACCAGTTTGTGCTGTGTATGTGTGTGACTGTCAGTGCTGTGTCCCCTGGGCAGTGCAGGCTGGAGTCAGGACCCTGCTCCCTGTGCTGTACAAACCCCAGACAAACCCACCCCTTGGCTTGAAGCTTTATTGTTTTAATCTCAGTTCTTTTCAGTTTGGGTTCAAGTGACTGTTCTCAACACCACGCCCGTCTGTGGACAGCACTGTGAATATGACAGCCTGAAATGAGCTCCTTGTTCCAATCACAATAAAGTATATAAATCACCCAAATGATTCTTCTGAATATTTCTCCAATCTATTGTTACCCGTCCCCCAGAAATAACAATGTAGTAGTGCTGCTGGCAATTAATTTTTTTTTTCTGCAAACATGTTAAAATGAAATGTCTTTGTATCTTCTTTCAAAAAGGCAAAAGCAAATCCAGAGTGTTGAAATCTTGCTAATGAAAACTGAAAACTCTTTTTGAATTTCACAGCTCTTATTAGTTTTTAAAAAAACAAACAAAATAACTCCTAAAAATTCTCCTGTTGTTTTTATAACCAGCAGCAGCATTTTCTATTTGTTTGTTTCTTTACTTGAAAAAACGATCAAAGTTACTTGGTTCTACTTGATTCTAACTCAAAAGTATTGCTTTGAAATGTGACTTAGCTTTTGTCAAGCGAGTAAAAATGATCATTTCTGTTCTGTATACACTTAGAGCTAATACTTCATAAAAGCTTCTCCTCTGATGGGGTGACAACATATATAGACTGTACACAACCAGCAAAGGGTTTTTCTGTGTAATTTATGTGCCCCAGCCACACACTGAGCCCCTGCACTGCCGGGGAGGAGGAGGTAAATCAATCAGGGGTGATTTCCAGTGAACAGCCATATCACATCTACCACCCATTTGCTCTTGGCTGGCTGAGAAATGAAGCAATTTAAACCTATTGGGTCACGCTGAAATGGGGGCCAAAATCTTCTCAGTGTGCTGCACACAAGGGAGCCTCATTTCATCTTCATTTGCAGGGCCCGTGGGCAGCAGTGTGGCCCTGCAGTCCATCAGTGTCTCTGGCACTGCCCCCTGGCTCCTGCCTGCTCAGCTGGTGCCACAGGGGCAGAAAACAACTTTTTGTGGTATGGATGTGGAGACTCCAGGCTGGAACATTTTGGATCTACTGAAAAAAATATGGAGGAAAACACAATTAGTGCTCAGTTATAATGCAGATATGAAGATAAGCTTGTGAAATACAAGTTTGTGGTGGAATATGAGATGGGAAAATAAATGTTTTCCACTCGCTTAATGTTTCATATAATCTTGGATGTGTTCCACTGCCTGACTGTTGTGTTTTCAGAATATTTCCACATCTGTCTCAAAGCCTTACCCTTCTCAAATGGACCAAGCAGCTAGGTTCTTAGTTAAAATAATAATAATAAAGTGTAAGAGCACCCCAAGTGTGCTGAACCTTCCCACAGCTCGTGCTCTGTGGAGAAGAGAGCACCTGGAAAGGCTCAGAACTGGCCCCCCCCCCCCAGGCAGGAGTAACACACAGCATGTGTTCCCCGGTGGGTTTTCCTGTTTCTTGTTGCTTCATATTAAAGATGGAATTCCATATGGACTTTTAATGGTTGCTTGGAAATTGGATGTCTGTCACCCCAGAGGGATGTATTGGAATTCTGCACCTGATTGCATTTCTCCCTTCTCCCCCCAGGAGGAGTCAAAGGTTATGGTTCAGAGGGGAAGGAGTTTGCAGACAGCAGCTTCTCCTCAAGCTAAGAGGAGGCTTCTTTTCTTTACCAGCATGGGCAGGTTATGTGTGGATGTAAAGAGTTGGTTGAGTTTGTGTATGTGAATTTAGGAATCTGATCCAAAATAAACTGACAGGAACAAAAAGCTGAGGCTGACCCCACAATAAATTGTTCTCTTCATCTAATTAGCAAGAGGAGTAAAGCAGAACAAGCAGATATAAAGCAGCAGTTCAGAGCTAGGCACAAATTTCTATCCAAATCTCGTTTTCTAGACCTGCTTAAGGAAAGAATAAAAGGCCTTTTCTGAACTCTAACACTTCTGAATATCTTTTTGGAAATTTCAGAAATAAGAATATTTTCTGTTGCATTTTTTTTCTCTCCAGTGTGATGTTCCTGTGGTGCTGTTCTCCCTCTGGGCAGTGATGCACAGCAGGGACTTATCCAGATGATCTGAGGAGGAGCCACCTCACCAGTGTAAGACTGTAAGAGCTTCTTCACCCTGTTTTGGTCCAAGTTCCTGAGCTGATATCTCTGGACATGTTGCTCATCAAACACCCCAGCTCTCCTCAGGTGAGCCCATTCCAGCTCCCCAGTGTGTGTTGGGATGCTCTGACTGAATTACCTTCATTACACCTTGGGAAGTGGTTTGTGCCTTGGCAATGCTGCTTTCTCCATGTCCCACTGGCAGTTCAGGCAGCAGAGGTGAAGGTCCAGGTCCCTGGTGTGTGATTCTCCTTGGAGCTTGGGCTGGTCTGTGCCAGCCAGGGGCACACAGGGTGGTTGTGGCACAGTCTCGTCCCCAAATCTTCCCCCAGAGCCCTGGGCTGCTCTGCCTGCAGTGCCTGCAGTGCTGTTACATGGCAGGAGTGGGGAGGGCACCGAGTGCCAACATCCTCTGGTGACCCTGAGCTGCTGAAGTGTGACTCTGCAAGTTATTCCAGTAAATCTGCTCCCTTCAGTTTGGTTTGGGAGAAAGAAATCTGTCCTTGCCTCTGGGTGATGGCATGTGGAACAGTGACGAGCAGTTAGCAGCAGTATTTCCAATTCCAAATATATAGAAATCATGAATAAGGTTTCCAAGTCTCAGAAATAATTAAATAAGTTTTTAGAAAGAATATTTCAGGTCATGTCTGGTTTCTGCCTTCTCAACTCTTTTAGGTGCAGTTGGTTTACTTGTGAAGTATTTAAACAAAAATACATGGGTTTGAAGCTTGCTTTTAAAAATGACACTCAGCTTCTGACATATTCCTGTCTTCTAGATCTGAGCTTTAACAGCAAGACCAAACATTCCTGGTAAATTTATACGTGCTAATAAATGCAAACTCCTTGCCAAAACCATATCCCCCACAATATGCAGAGAGCATCAGAAGTGAAAAGTAAATTAAATCTGTGACTGTTTCCTAGTTCTGTACTAGAGGTTGCACAAATTTAAAGCAAATGTAGATTATAGCCAAATTCTGTTGCATGGGTTTCATTTACAGTAACATTGCTGCTGTCAGCCAGCCAGTAACCTCTGCTCTGGCCATCAAACATCACCACTAAAAGTTCAAGACAGGTAAGAAATAATTACTATAATACCATTTTTTAATTTGTCTTCTGCTTTTCCGTAGGGATTACCTTATGTTTTCCCTCTTTCTTACTTTTAAGTTTTCATTGTTTATTTTTAATACCATTTCTTTGAATGGTGACAGCTAAAACTTTAAAAAATGGAAGTTGAGATTCATAACAATCACCTAATGGCTGAAGCCAAGGCAGCAATGAAAGCATCAGTCATCTTGAGACCTGTGATATATTCGCTGGAATTAACAAAATCACTTGAGTTGGCAGTGAAGGAGAGGTTGCCTTGTCATCAGGTCGCTCTGGCTGGATGTGATTTTATTTTAAGGCTCTTGTTGCACTCCCAGAATCTTTAAAGGTGGTACCCAATTCTTTTATAGTTTTATAGTTTTCTTTTTACAGTGTGCTCTTTATAATATAAAATGGTGGTTTGCACATGGCCAGGCCTGACCCAGCTCCAGGCTGATGTTGTTAACACATGGACACGAGTCTTGGTCTCGGAGCTGGTTCTCACCTGGCCCGAGGTTCCCCCAGACCTGTCCTGTGCTGCACCCTGTGCCATCTGTGCCCTGCTCCCCAGCCTGCACATGCCACAGGGTTCAGTCCTCAGTGCAGCACGTTGCTCTGGCTCTGGTGAGGGCAAAAAGAAGCTTCCCTTGACTTTAGCTGTAGTTGTAAAACTTTCCAGACACCGGAGATTTAACTGTGTTTTGGGCATATGAACTCCACAGAGTCTGATGGAGCTTGCCTGCTCAAAGTATCCATACCAGTGTTTTCAGGAAGGTTTTTAAAAAAGTGTGTGTTCCAGTTATTACCCGTAATTGATATAATATTGCAAAAATCTATGTGGCTTATTGGCCTGACAGAGTGCAAACAGCTTTTTGGAAGTCTCCCGATATGAAATATTCCAGCCCTGGAATTGTTCTTGTACACAAAGTGCAGGGAGACAATAAGCAATAAAATACCAGATGGATTTCCTTTGAAACATAATTACTATCCAGGTGCAGACCCCACTTTTCATAGTCAAAGATTTCCATCATTTTAATAGGATTCTTTTAAGTTATAGTGTGAGAATCTCCTGAACTGAGCTGTTGGTCAGTGCACCATATGTGTGGTACTGGTGAAAAAGAGAGGGTTCATCTCACAGTCCTCTTTGGCCACTGGCTTTTTGTCCTGAGGATGGGAATTGAGGTGCCAGCTGGTGCCCACTGGGGCAGTGGTTTCTGGGGGGGCTCCCCTGGCCCGAGGCAGCTGCCCTGGAACTCGTTTGGTCCTTGCAGAGAGCCAAGCAAGAACGTTTTTCTGCCCTTCTCTTTTCCTTGCAAGGGAGCAGACCAGTCAAATAATAATAATAATAAAAAGGCATAACCAGCCTCCCCTCCCATTCTGACATGCTGAGTGCCAAAACTCCCATCCAGGCTGTAAGGAAGTGAGAACACAGTGAAAACAGGGGCTTTATTTAAGGGCAGGGCTGTGAACTTTTTAACTCTCTGTGCTCCCCGACGTGCCTCCTCACCCTGCACAGCTGAGGCTTCCAGGGACTGTGGGTGGTGGATGAGGAAAGGGGAAGAGGTGGTTTAGCTGTGCACAGTGTTTCCCATAAGAAATAAAGCAATAGAGTCTCACCTCACTGCCTGTTTTTCCACATGCATCGAGACGGGAATGTATTTATATAACCCTATTAAAAGGGAACACTCAGTAGCAAACTTGGTCTTTAAATAGCTACTGTTCTGCATACTCCCGTCTCCAAACTCCTCAATTTCAACTCACACCCACTTACATTCTTTTGACATATTCCTCAGGTTTGGATTTGGGTTTTTGTTTTTGGTTGGTTTTTTGGGTTTTTTTTGTGACTTTAGGGTTAAATCCAAAACTTATTGAAAGCAGTGGAAAGACACTCAGTGAATTCAGTGGAATTTGGATAATACTCTTAGAGCTCAGATACCATGGTGACAAATGCAATAAATTACATGGACAAAAGTGGCCCATTTTGGGCCAGCTCTACTTCCAGAGAAACAAATTAAACTGTTGCTATTGACTGCCACAGGAATCAGTTCTGCCCCTCCCTGGTGGCATTTCAGCAGCTCTCAAAACCCTTTACAAATAAGGGGAATATCTTTATCTCCCATTTACAGAATGGAATAAACTGAGACACGGAGCCACAACTAAACCTGGAGTCAGGCAGTGCAAAAGAGCTGGAATGAGCCCCAGATACCAGTCCTTGGACCACCCAGTGGAAAAAGAGAGTCAGTCAGCTGCCAGCAGGCTCACAGCCTCTCCTGGTGCTACCAGACCCTGCTGGTGCCAACAGGAGTGGAGAGGGCACCCACCATCCTCCCGTGAATGCTGAGTGTTGCTGAACTGCCCAGCCCTGCAGCAGCAGTTGGGTTTCACCACCAACATGCATTATTTCATCCTTCACCCCCCCAGCATTCATATTTTCCCTTTGACTCCTGTGATGTTGTTTCCATTTAGCAAATACATTCTTGGGGTTTTTTTCCCCTGTGTCCCTCCAGCCACCTTAGTTTGCCTCTTTTTTTTTCTTCTTTCCCTTAAAAACTTTTTCCCTCATTCAGTGCACTAAGTGGATTTATGACCCATTTAGGCAGCTTACAGTGGCATTGCTTTTACAGTTCAGAGGCAGAAGGGCCATAAAAAGATTTACAGTTACAGCAAGAGTCTGTTGCATGGAAGTTTGAGATCCAAATTAGACAAAGGGAGCGGGTCTGTGTGAGTGGCCAGTAAAAGAAGCTTGGAAACAAAAACAAATGAAATTTCTGTTAGAGGAGGAGGTTGGGATGGGGGCAGAGAAGGAGGAGGAAAAGTTGCCTGTTAACTACACGTTACTATTGCAACAACTCTGTTAATTCTGTTATATAAAGCCCTTTTTCCTCCTTTTTTCCTCTCTCGATGTTGTTGTTGGACAGATTTCCTTTGCAAACACAAATCTCAAACTGGAGAGCAGCAGCTTCACACAGTAGTTGAGATTCCAAGGCAGATATTCTCAGGATTTTGGCAGCTGGTTTTGCTGCTACTGGGACTCAAGGATACAAACTTCAGAGAATAAACCCCAGCAGCTGAAGGAATGGGACTGGTCAGAGTGGAGGACTTGAGGTTGCATTGCATGGGGATAATCTGGTGTTTAAAAGGAGCTGGAGACTAGGAGATAGATTTGATCCTCTCCCACAAGCTGAGGGAAAAGGCAGATTTGCCCCTGACAAGTCTATGGTGTGGAAGCAATGGTAAATAAGCTGTAGAAGAAAGGAAGCCAATACTTCCCAGTTTTGCTCTAAATGCTGATTATTTATTTTTTTTTTAGATAGTTAAAATCACTCTTTGGTTTTGTTTCCCTTCTCATTGCCATTATATTTATTCTGCTGCTCTTGTTCCTAACCAACTTCCTGTTCCAGATCTCCCCTCTAGTGTCACACAGATCTGGCCCTTCCTTTCCTGGAGCCTGTCACACAGTGATGGGACCCGACTGCCTCCTGGGCACCACACAGTTCCCTGCATTTCAGAAGTGAGTGATATGTCTTTTAAATGTCTTATTCTTATTTTCTGTTGAGTATCATTGCATTGTTCATGGCAGCATCCTCACAGGAGTTTTTATTTCTTAATTTCTTGTGGATTTTTGTCTGGTTTTTTTTTGTGAGCTTCACTGGTGAAGCTGTTAAGGTTTTCTTGGTGCCTTGCATGTCCTTTACTCACTGTGGGCTCATAACTCTCCAGTGAAATTAGTGTTACTGGTGATGCTGAGGCCACTGGGATCCTCTGGATGAAAAATACTCCATAAAGACAGATCTTTAATCCTTGTTCTTCCCCCTACACATTCTCACATGGATGTAACACTCAGGTTTCCGGGTTTCTGTAAGAGAAGAAAAGCAATCATAATGCTTTCCCTAAGTCCATTTTAGATCTAGTTCTTTGTTCTTCAGCAGAAAAGTCTCTGAATAAGGAGAGGAGCTAAAGATGAGTGGCCATGTTTTAGGGACTTTGGGCTGGTGTTTTGCTTTCTAGAGGAAGAAGAAACAAGAGAGAGGCTTCTGCCTAAACCAGAAACAAAATATCACTCAGGCACTTATTAATATTATAAAGCTAACTGGGAATTGCCAACTGGACACCCATTACCCCTTTTTCCCTGCTCATCCCTGGGTCAATCCCAGTGTGCAGCCAGAGCCTGCCAGGGATGGCCCTGTGTGTTCTGTGGGGCTGGTTTTGGAGATCCCTGCCCTGCCAGCCCGTTCCCAGCCCATTCCCAGCCCATTCCCAGCCCATTCCCAGCCCGTTCCCAGCCCTACTGCTGTTCCATGTGCTCCTCACAAACCCCTCTGGCCAGGCCTGGGGGGCACTGAGGAATTCCTGGGGCTCCCTGGGCAGATTTCCAACAGGACATTGAACCCTTCCCAACCTGCTGTGTCAGGGCTGTTCCTCTCTCTTCCTTTTTCCATCCCCCCTAAACCCACTCTCACTTCTGTCTCATTCTCTTCTTCCTTTTTCAATGAGAAGGGCCTTGAACTTCTGGCAGAGACTTTGACATATGAGAGAAAGCACTGAAAAGGAGAAAAGACTATATTTTATGAGTGATGGTTAAAATGTATTCTTGAAGTGCTATTTTTTTAAGTTGAATATAGTCGGGTGGACAATGCAGCAATTGCCATGAAAAATTCTCAGAGTAGTAAAAGGCTCCACTTTTTCTGGGGAAAAAAAGGATTTAAAATTAATATAGTCTTCTTCCAGACTTACCAGTTCTGTATTTCTGGTTCATCTGATCTATTATTCCCTCCTCGTGTTCTTTTCCTTTTTCCTTTATATTTATACAAGAAATATAACTCCCAGTTATAAAGTTAAAAAGAAACAAAACAACCAGTAAACCAGTAACCTTCAGACTTTATTATGATTCTATAAATTTTAAAACCAAATCACTGCTTGCAGTTTGAATCAAGCTGGCAAAAACATGAAAACGATTTTAGATCTACTTTGAAACAAAATCTACTGTTCTGTGTAGAACTGAACATGCATTTCCAAGGGAAGGGGAGTGTAGGACAACTTTCTTTCCTTAAAAGAAAATAGGATTTTGAAAGCTAGGTTTTAATGGCCACTGATGTCACAGGTCAGTACAGCCACGATCCAGCACTGGGTCTGAGATCATCAGAAAAGGTAAATTAATTTTTCCACTGTTGGAATTGTTTTAACTCCTTCCCATTCTGTTTTACCTTCCACTTCTCCCCTGGTTCAGAGCTGGGACTGGCCCATGCAGTGTTGCAGGGGGTTCATTCCCTCCAGCCCCTCACACACAGGGCAGAGCCCACGTGCCCAGCAGGGCTCAGCTGCCCAAGGGAGCTGCACATCACAAAGGACTTTTACTTATCCTGGGGGGCCCCCACATCCCCTCTGAGCTGTTTTTGACTCTGAGTGTGCCATGTGCTCCATAAACAAACACCCTGTGTTTTTTTAGCTGGGTCAGTATGAGCTGAGTGGTACCTTGAGCAGGGACAGGGAGGAAGTGGTGGGACAGGAGCAGGATGGGGACAGGAGCAGCCTCAGGCCCAGAGGACCTGAACAAGCAAACACGGGTGGCTGCCAGAACAAATCTGAGCCCTTTGAGAAACTGTTTGCAGGTCTCATGACAAAGTCAGAGAACAAAGAGGTTCAGGAAGGCACTAATAATGTCAGAGCTCCAGGAGAGCCGCTGGCCATGGGCAGGGAGCTCCAACCCATGTGTCCAGGTGCCACATCACTGCTCCTGCTCTGTTATCACACCTTTGGTGGGGTTCTCTGTGGACACTGAAGCCAGAGCCTCTGGACTTCTGTACTCCAAGAAGCATGGAGCAGTACAACAATGAATGGGGAAAAAGAAAGGAAGAAAAGAGCTTGGAAACAGCAGCAACTTTGTAAGTCTCCATATGTGGTCTAGCTTTTGGGGCTGGAATGAGTATCCTCAAAGGCATTTATGTGGCTGAAAGTCTGTGAGGCCTCGTCAAAGCACAATGTTGTGTTAGAGGGAGCAACATCTGGGGATATTCCTGTGCCTGTTTCCTCCCTGGTTGATATGTGTGAGTTTATGGCCCTCTGCCTTGTTTATTAAATTTTACCTTTTGGGTTTAAATCATCATGAAGACTCATTGTGAGAAAAAAATGCCCATCTCGGCTTCTTCTTACTAAAAACTGATTCAAAAAATGCTCATATTTTCCATCCTTGATTTCTTTAGAATTTTAGTGTAGTAAGTCCCCTTTTTATTGCCCAAGTGACTCCATTCAGTGTTGGTTTAGAGTCGTTATTGCTGCAGCCCCAAAGCCTGCAGGCGGCACTCAAGAGCATGGAATGTCCCTGCTCCAAGTTTCTGTGTTCATTGGCCACATCTCCATCACCTTGGGAAGCTCTGCTGGCTGAGGGAGATGAAGATTCAATCCCACATTTTAGTAAAATGAGGCTTCACCGATTTACAGCTGAAAAAATTAGTGTCTGCTAGAGCTCCTTTGTCCCCAGGCTGTGACTCATTTTGCTGTTCAGCCATCCAGGGAAGGCTTTTTGGGTGCTGGCTCTAGGGGTGGGGGTGGTAACAGAAACCACTCAGAGCAAGGCAGGGAACTGCAGAGCCTCATCCCAGTGACAGGAACAGGAGAAATGGCTCACAAACCCACCAAAGGAAAACAGGGATACACCAGTGATCCAGGAGGTAGGATATCCTGCCAAAATGCCCTCTAAGTGGCCATTAATGGACATCTGAGTTTTGCTAAATAATTAATGTGTCTGTTGTGTTTTTTTTCTTATAGATCTTTCAAGGAATTTAGTTTCTGTTCCTTTGCATTTAGTTTCTGATCCCTGAAATGTTGCTTTTGAGCCTGTATTCTCAAGCATTTATAGACATGGTCTGTAAGGCAGATTTCTAATAGTAGTTCATGTCTGTTATGGTCAAAAAGCATTTAACCCCAGATATATAAGAAGGTAAATAGCTCTCTTTGTTCTGCTGGTATAGTTTGGATGCTGAGGTGTAACCAGCTGAAGTGGAATTGCCAAAGGCAAGATACAGGTCTGTATAATAAGCAAGAACAAGTCTTGTCCTTTGACCAACACAAAGAAAAACAGTAGTGGAGCTCTAAAAACTACTAAATGAACTGTCTGAATCCTAGCACTCAAGGAGTTCTAAATAATACTCTTTTATCCATCTTCACCCATGGAAAATGGCTATTCTGTTGTTGTCTGTACTGAAAATATCAGTGTATTGCCTGGGCTTTGCAGTTCACTTTGCCAGCTCCTACAGTGGAGAAATATCACAGGATCACAGGAAGGGGTGGGTTGAAAGGGACCTTAAAGATCCTGTTGTTCCACCCCTTGCCATGGGCAGGGACACCTTCCACCAGCCCAGGTTGCTCCAAGCCCCATCCAGCCTGGCCTTGGACACTTCCAGGGATGGGGCAGCCACAGCTTCTCTGGGCAAGAAGGGCCTCACCACCCTCACATTAAAAAATTTCTTCCTAACATCTAATCTAAGGCTACTCTCTTTCAGTTTGAAGCCATTCCCCCTTGTCTTGTCACTACAAATATCATATGAACTCCAATATCATGCAAAAGATGGGGTGTAGAAATGCTGGTAAGAACAAACAGAAGCCCTTCCTGAACATAACTGGTCCTTTCCCAATTTTTCCTTTGTGTCTCTGTGGTTGGGCTGGCTCCCCCAGATGGCTGGAACAGGCTTTGGTCCTTGGTTTCTTGCAATGCCTGAATATTTGGGGAGTTTTCCCTCCTTCCTCCAAAGTTCTGGCTATTGGTGTGAGTAGGATGTTGTAACACAGCAACTCATATTCTTCTCTTCTTATCACCAGCTCTTTTCCCTGAGTGCCAGTTGACCACATTGGCTTCAGCTTGTAGTTCTTGCAGGGCCCTAAACCAATATAACCACAGTGTTAGTGGCTGGATCAAACACAGCCCAGTGTCAGGGGACTTGGCAGGGCTGAGATTTTGGGTTGGTCTTTGCTGCAGGTGGGGGATCTTCACCAACATCTGCTGCAGAGGAGGGCGTGGATCCAGGCAGAGGAGGCTGTGTGTGGAGGGACCTGGGGGGCAGATGTTGGGTATGGACCACTCTGGTCCTAAAAGGGTGAACATGGCACTGAGTGCTCTTGTCTGCTCTTAAAAATAGCAGAGAGGTCACAAATGAAGGTGTGAGCTTAGCTCCAAATGATGGTCAGCTCCCTAAAACAACCCAAACCTTTCACCATATCCGCTTAGGACAAGGTGTTCTTCCTCTCCTGCAGCACAGAGGAAGGAAATGTATCTTCAGGAAATGTTTATTTTACCCACGGACTGTCTGAAGCAAGGCTCGACAATACCCGGAAAAAGAAATCCCCATAAAATTAATATAAAAATAGGTGGGGTTATCGAGCAAATGCATGGGTTGGACGAGCTGGAGAGAAGCAAATGTGCTGGGATGGTCCGTGCCAGCAGCTGGAGAGCAACTGTGTGACCCTGGATCCTGTCTGGGCCAGGTGAGCAGGAGGCAGGGCCCTGTCCCTGTCCCATCCCCACCCTCCCAGCTCTCTGCACGTCTCAACACAGCCATTCAAAACCAGAACATGAGATACTGGACAGTGTAAATGTAATATTTACACTGGGAAGGAAGGAGCAATGCTACTGAACACCTGACCCTGGGGGGTAATTTAAGCCCCCAAACCTCCAGGAGCCTCCTTCTTTCTTCTGACCCAGGAGACGTGTTAGACACGTTCCTTCTGAACATAAGGGTCAGCTCCCCCTCCTTGTTTTCCAGCCTTATTTTTCCAAGCCTTGGAGAACTGCAGCAGAAATCTTGAAGGCAACTGGTGTGTGGAAATGAAACCTCTGAGATTTAATGTCTTAACTAAGAATTAAGGAGTTAAAAAGAAATACTTAATTTAGTTCTCTGGAGCAGAGCTCTGCCCACCCTGCCCCAGAAACATCCCCCATGTCCCTGCCCCAGCCCAGCCTGGTGTGTCCCTGCTGCTGCTCCAGGCTGGCTCCAGAGAGCTGCTCCAGCCTGAGCTGCCTGACAGGGGCCTGGAAAGGCCTCCACAGAGGCCTGGGAATGGGCTCTAATGGCTCCCCACCGTGGGATTCCCAGAATTAATTTGTGTCTGGCTTTTGACATCAGGGACGTCGTGTGGAAGAAGATGGATGTTCCTGAGAAGCATTGGAAGGAGTGAAGGGCTGACAGGGGTGGTTTATGCCTGGCCATGGATGCAGAGCAGTAAATGTGGTTGGTTGATTGAGATCAGATTTTTCTTTTATTTTTTCCAGTGGCAACGCCCACATAGTTTATTTATTTATTTTCCCCTTTCGCTTCAAGGCACCTAACAACAACACTGTACTTTATAAATGCCTGTGATTATAAATCTGGAAGGATGGCATTCTTGGTTTCCTCAGAGGCCAGGAGTCCATACCCACAGGAGACGGATGGGAGCAGCAACCAGCAAACTTTCTATATTATTGCACAGAATTGCAGGAACTGGTTTTGGTTACACCACATGGGGAACACAGAGTCTGCACAGGGCATCTCCATTTACTGCTTCCTCTGTGAGCAGCCAAGGCAGGATTGCTTACACTCCCTGCTGACAGTTCCTGGGGAGGGAATGATGCCCCAAAAGATGCAAAGGCATGGATTTACATCAGCTGTTTCTGTTATCCTGCTTGCAGGTACAGCCTAAGAGGTTTAGAAGTGATTCAAGTAACTGTGCAAAGCTGGTGTGAAAGTCCAGAGTGGTTCAGCTTTTCTCTCCACTTCCACTTCTGTGCCTTGTCCCAGCAAAATGGCTCCAAAAACTGCATGAAAAAAAGCCTTCCCTTCCTTTCCCTTGCAGGCAGCATTGGCAGATGACATTCTGAGATCCCCAAGGTGTGGGGAGCAAATAGACTGTTGCTGCAGAATGGGTTGAGTTGTGCTGCAAAGTTAGGAACTGTTTTTCCATAGTTTAGAAGATGATTTTTAAAAGTTGGGGATTTAGTTTACATTTTTGCATGGGCTACAAGGTCAGTGGTGGAGTAAGAGCTGAATTTAGCTTTAGAGTCATCTCTCAGCTTTGAAGAAAGAAAAAACAATAGTCATGTTTGATTTTGGTGCTTTGCTTCATCTTCTTGCTGCCTTAGTCATGGGGCTGCTTGTGGTGTTGTGGGGGCAGCCCCATAAGATCTCTGGCCCTTCCCTCTTCTTCCTATCATTTACCTCCTCCCCAGCCCTACCAGAGTCAAATATAAACTTTCTTAAAATGAACACAAGTTTCATTCCACTTGACCAAGCCTGACTTCCCAGAAAATAAACAGTGAGAGCAGAGCCAGCCAGCCCCCTCTCCTGGAGCTGCAGCCTCCAGAGAGCTGATGGGCAACCCAGAGCAGCTCTGGGCTTTCTGTAGAGGAGAAGAGGGTAGAAAAGAGAGGGATCCAACCTAAAGGGGTCTTCTGTAAAAAGCAAGATTGCTAAGTGTGTGAATTGTCACAGTTCTGGTTTCTTGTTTCAGTCTCAGCTGGATCCTTGATAGCTGGACACAACTGCTTCCCTGCCCTGAAACTGGAGCAAGAAGAGCCAGGTCAGTACATCTATTAGTGCTATGGATGGAAGAGGGTTCTCCAGAGCCCCACACTTAAACTGAGCCAAACAGAGTGAAAACCCATTCCCTTTTATGATCATTTTTTACTGCTGTCCTTTGTTTCAATGGTTTAAACTAAAAAGGAGAGATTTAGAGTAGATGTTGGGAGGAAATTCTTCCCTCTGGAGGCCCTGGCACAGGTTGCCCAGAGAAGCTGTGGCTGCCCCATCCCTGGAAGTGTCCAAGGCCAGGCTGGATGGAGCCCTGAGCAACCTGATCTGCAGGATGGCATCCCTGCCCATGGCAAGGGGTGGAACTAGATAGTCTTTAGGGTCCCTTCCAACACAAACCATTCTGTGATTATTGCTATTAAAATGAAGGGAAAAAAAAAGGAAAAAACAAACAAAACTCCATCATCACTGGAACTGTGCACATTCATCAAAAGAATGACTAAAAAATAAAGCAAAGAATATGCTGAGCAATTTTCCAACCCCATTTTGCCTTCAGAGTGGACTGAATTAGTTTCTGCTATGAGCAGTCCCCCAGTTCTGCACTGGCTGGGCTGTGCCAGCACTGTGCCATCTGTCCACAACCATGGATGAGGGAGTGGGCACTGCAGAGGCTTCAGTTCCCACTCTCCAGGGCAGCTCCCAGACACTGGACTTCCCCTGGCCCCTGTGCCAGGTCTCATCTGCTGGGACACTTTGTCCTCAGTGCCTGGTGTGCCCTCGAGGCAGCAAAGCTCTGTGGTGCAGCTGCCCTGAACCCACAGGCTGGGCTGTGACCTTTGGGACTCAAAGTCCATGTTTTTCCTTGGACTCCCAGCCCTGCAGGTGTTATCCCTGCAATCCCCTGGGAGCAGCTGTGTGCGGGTGTTGCCTACGGGACTGAAATGATTTTCTCTGAAATGGCACGGGTAGGAAACAAGTGTAGACAAAATAATAAATACACCTGTATAGGCTCCCTTTCCTTGCAGGCAGGAGATGTTTTGGGACCCAGGTCAGAGTTATCTGATCTGTCCCGGATCCCCTCTCCCAGCACTTGTCACCTTCTCTAACTCCTGATGTTTATCTGCCTTTCTTTTCCCAGGACAGGTATCTTTGATCTCCTCTGCTCTCACTGTTAAACACTCTCTCTTGCAATGAAAGCATGAGCTCCTGATCCCCTCTAATCCCAAAACATCCTGTGTGATTGTGTGAGTCTCTTGACTTTCTTCATCCTACCAGCAACACCTGAAGTTATTTAAAAAAAAAAAAGAGGAGAAACAAAGTGAGAGAGCCTTTACACTGCAACAAACCTGCTCTTTATGGAAAAAACCCCTTGAACTAAGCCAGCTGCAATGTTCCCTCCTGATGTGTGACTGCAGAAAGCAGCAGTAGCCAGAACTCAAACACCTTCCTCTGTGAGTCTTCTCGTTTTGCCTATGCTGATATTTACAGGCAGCCTTAGCGAGGACAAATGTAGTTAATGAAGACTGGCCAACACTTCTGCAAATTACTCATGTGTTGCTAAGGATAACATTCAAAGTTTAAAAATAAAAATCAAGGAAAAAGGTTTATTTTCACGTTAGGTTTCAATTTGCTGCTATTTTTTTTGTCCTTACTATCTGCTGTTTTCCGCTCTAAGCATTATCTGTTCAAGCCAGAGCAGATTAAAGCTAATTGTTAGGCCCCTCTGTTTTTCCTTCTTACTGTTTTATCTCCTAAGCAACTTTATTTGGTACAAGACAAATAATCTGAATTCCTGAAGTCAGAAACAAGGAGTGGGAGTCCGGGAAACTGGCTGCTGATCTAATGCAGTTTTTGCAAGTGTGGTTATGGTTAGAAACTCTAAATATGGCCCCGTGTTACTGTACACACGGTAACTGGCCTGTGTGTGTCAGGCTCTGACTCACAGCACTGGGCTTTACTGACAAAAACATGTTTTACTACTCTCAGTAGTGAGGAGTCCAGAGAGCTGGGAGTGAAAGTGTTGAGCTCATTGCATCAAGTGTCTACAGCTGAATCACAGAACGATGGAAAGGTTTGGGTTGGAAGGGACCCTAAAGATCATCCAGTCCTGCCCCCTGCCATGGGCAGGGACATCCTCACTGGACCAGGCTGCTCAGGCTGAGCTTGGGGCATGCCCAGGTTTTATGTTGGTGAGAGGGGAGGCAGCAGCAGACGGGAAGTGACTCGGCCAGTGGGTGTTGAGGTGTTGGTTTGTTTGTGGGGTGAAGGTGCCATGGAGTGGGGATCCCTGCCTGGCACCCCCTGGCACAGGAGAGCTGTGATGCCCATGGCCATGGTTCTGCTTCTGTGAAAGTGAGGGAGGAGTTTTGTTCCCAGCACATGGAGAACCCCAGTGTGTTTGCAGTCCTTGGTGCTGTGGAACAGAACTGTCACCCTGTGGCTCCCCCCCCACTGCAGGCCAGGCTCCTTCCACCAGCAAAGGACCAGCAAAAGCTGGATTTTTTTGACTTCTGAACTGAATTGGCCTGATCTGAATGTTAATGGCAGAAACTCCATTAGTTTCATGTTTTTCTTTTAACACAGCCCCCTTTTTAATCTTTACAATAATAAGTATCCAAGGAGCCCAGCTGGCATTCCCATGCTGTACACATTCATCCTAACCTTTACTGTTGACTGACTCATGCAGTGTGCATCTGCAAGAGTTATTAATGGAAAGTATTAAATGAATTTGGTTTAATATTTGGTAAATAGGAGGTGTCTTTCCTTTGTGCTTGAATTCGTGTTTCAGATGTCTGTGTTTGTGTTATTTATATTAATATATTTCATGGGCTGCTTAATAATAGTAGCAATTAAGATAATAACAATAAATACTAATAATACCGAGCTCTTCTGCTTTTCATCAAAGGAGGTCAAGACTCAAGGGTGTACCTCTGGGGCTGGTAAAATGTAGATCTGATCTCCTCCTCCTGTTTCTTTTTGTGGAAAGTTTGGAGTATCATGCAAAGATCAGATCGCCTGTATTTCAGCCTCTGGAATGTCTCTTAGGCATTATAAATGTCAGTAAGAAACATAAAATTGGAAAGAAAACAAACACTGGGACATTGAAAAATATAACCACAAATACTGACCTATTTGTTGGTTGTTTTTTTTTTTTTTCTGATTTAGCAGAATGCTATTAATATTGTAATTAAAGCTGTTTTGTAGCCTGGGGCCTTGAGCACCTGGCTCTTATTAGAGCTGGATCCGTAGCTTGTGGTGGAAAAACCAAAAGGACAAGAGAGGAGATGGCCCAAAGGAGAACACAAGAGGGCACAGTGGCACCTGTGGTGCACTTTTTGTTCTGTGGCTTTTTGAATTGTTGAGGGCAGGGTGAGTTCAGGCCTCTGTTTGCACGACATAAATAACTACAGTAACAGGGTTGATTAGTTGGAACGGTAAAAATGGAATTTTGTCAACTCGGAGTGTTTACTAGAATTACTTTTTTGGTTAGTTCTGAGGGTCAAAGATAAGATGTGATGACTGTGTCATGGAAGGTCAATATGGCAATAATCCCCACTGCAACCCTGACAGAATTGATGTGGGCAGCCAGTGGGAATGTGCTGATTATATTTAATGAGGTACAAAATACACTTCCTAGGCAGGTGTTTCTGCAGTTTCCTCATCAATTCCACTGTTCTGCTGGATTGTGTTGATGGAGACGAGTTCTCTGATTTCAGAGACAAAGAATCCTAATGCTGCTTTTCATTTTCTGTTCAAGGAGAAGGTATGTTTGTGTGAAGCCTTTTTCATGTGCCTGGTCAGAAATGACCCAGCAAAGGCAAGAAGCTGAACCTTAAGCAACCTTACCCTGGTGATGCTGCTGAATGAGAATTTTCTTCTCAAAGAGTTAATGGTTTAAATGGATCTTTGTAGGGCAGCAACAGAACTAAGCAGGATTCTATCCCATATGTTAATTTGAAGTTCAAGGGTCACAGTTGCCCTTCCATGTCTCGTGCAGGATGCTCAGGGGCACAAACAGCCTCCCTGTGCCACAGTCACCTGCCTGGGTGGGCTTTTGTGGAGGGAGAGCTGGGTCAGAACTGTTCCACCAGAGTGAGTTCAGTGAAGGGGTGCAAACAGGCTTTTTTGGGTTTGTTCAGTCACTGTTCCTGACGTTCACAGGAGGTAACAGCCTGGGCCTTTACTGTGGGAATTGTGGTTGAAACCCCTGAACACTGTCATCCATGACATGACATTATTTCACAACTAAAAATGAACAACCACCCTTTTTTTTGTAAAGATGCCCTCATCCTCAGGTTTCCCATTAACACTATTTGTAAGACACAGCTTCTCCCATCCAAAGCAGACTCTGGGGGTTTTATACCCTCCCAGAGGTCAATCAATCTGTCACCGTGTAGGTGAAGATGCCACACTACCCTGCGTGCAGGGAAGTACAGAAACAAGATCATTAACATCTTAATATCCTGTCCTGACATCTCACAAATTATTTTAGACTTCATAGCCAATGTAAACAGGTTTGTTTTCAACTCCCCTAATTGCCTGCTAATTGAGAGCAGATGCAGGCCTTAACTTTGGGCAGATAATGAGCAGCTCTTCTGCAGGGCTCTGCATCCCTTCTGCCCGGCTCTGTATCTCTCCTGTAGGGCTCTGCATCCCTCCCGAGGGCTCTGCATCCCTTCTGCCCGGCTCTGTATCTCTCCTGTAGGGCTCTGCATCCCTCCTGAGGGCTCTGCATCCCTTCTGCCCGGCTCTGTATCTCTCCTGTAGGGCTCTGCATCCCTCCCGAGGGCTCTGCATCCCTCCCGAGGGCTCTGACGTGCACCAGGAGCTTCCCTGGGCAGCGATGCCGAGGCAGAGGGGGATTGTAACAGCTCCTCGTCATCGTGCCTGCCCTGTGAGACAGAAGGGGAGGCAGAGCTGTGGGACTCATCAGTAACATCATCCTGATTGTTTCATTTCGTACTCCAGTGCACTCTCTGAACAGCACAGGTCTCCTTCTGGGGGGTTCTCCGAATTAGAGATGGGCTTCTCGTTATGATAGAAATCACT